TGCAGAAACATTAGTACATGCCTTTATTACTTCAAGGCTAGACTATTGTAACGCACTACTGTCAGGATGCACCAGCAGGAATTTAAGTAAACTTCAACTAGTTCAAAATGCTGCAGCCAGGGTTCTCACTAAAACTAGAAAATTTGATCATATCAGTCCAGTTCTATCATCACTTCATTGGCTGCCTGTTAAATTCTGTATCGATTACAAAATTCTTTTATTGACGTATAAAGCCCTACATGGGCTCGCTCCTGAGTACCTGCAAGACCCTATTTCCCATTATGAGCCACCACGATTACTCAGATCACAGAGTGCTGGCTTTTTAATAGTTCCCAAAATTCAGAAGGCTTCAGCTGGGGGAAGAGCCTTTTCTTATAAAGCCCCCAAACTCTGGAATGATCTTCCAGAAAATGTTCGGGACCCAGACTCAGTCGCAGTCTTCAAATCTAGGCTGAAAACTCACTTGTTTAGTTTAGCTTTTGGTAGTTAATGTTCCCCCTTAGATAAAGGCAGCAGATCCAGGGGTCCATGGACACAGGGAATTATAGTAAACTGAGACGCTGGTGCTGTTGTCCCGCCGCTCGCACGCGATCACTCAGGTTTGTGGACGGTGGAGCGGAGGGATGCCAGATTGTTTCAGGGTGCTCCCGTGTCTGTGTGCCCTTTTACATCAGCTTTCCTTTTCCCCATTATACTCCCCCCTTATTGTGGCGTTTACAATGCAATAAAACCCAAAATTAGAACAGAGAAGCACTCCAAACACCAACACAGCATGGCTCACACACACATGATTCTTTATGGTGCGACTAGACAGCAAACACACAACAGCCCCAACGAACGAACCAGCACCTAATCATGTGAGAAATGCTCACCTTATCTGCCGACTTGGTGCGGGAGTAAGTGCGCAAAGGCTGTCGGCCACGCAGCCAGCCACAACACGTTCAGAGTTCGTGATGCCAAATTCTTGTCCGCAATCCTGTTCATGCCCCAAATTCTTGTTGTTTATTAAATAGTGATGATGTGAAGATGATGAAGAAGTCTCCGCTGACACTGTCTTGCTTGTATAAAATATTTATTACAAAGTAAAACAGTATCATATCAAGCACCATAAAGTACCTGAAAGGGGATCCGTGCCAATTCTGAAGTGTCCCCTCCAGAACAGTATAGCCTACTGCTTTACATAGGGTGGTTGTTTTCGAATAAGGGAGCAGAACATATGGTCCTTCTTAGAATAGTTTCATTCATCTGGAACTAAAGAGGAAAGGGACCTTGACCCTTGGACCTTTGGACCAGGAGCCCCCTAACTTAAACATTCCAAACCTGCAACGTCAGATAACACCTGGAGCTCGGATACTACATTCTTAAGTCTGGAGCTGTAACACAATCGCTGTAACGGAGTTCACATCGACGACGTGACATTACAATGAATTTTTCTCATCATTATTGGGCAGCGCGACTTTCATTCCTCTCTAATTTTGCTGTTAAATGGCGGGAGTCCTGTAGAGTCTCTTCCCCATATCGCTTCAGTTTTTTGCTGATAGAATAGCTGATGCCTCCCCAAATGCCGGACTAAGCCTATCCTCTCAACACTCATGCCCGATCTTTTCTGTCTTTATCATTTCTAACCGCGATCGCCTGATTTTTGAGCTTCTGCAACCAGACGTGCCCTCTGCATGTTTATTTCTGGTTAAAGTGATAGAACTTTTTACATTTGGATAAATATTTTATGCTTAGTGTGTGAATCTGTGAAACAAAGCTATTTTGTGATATTTCCACTGACAATAGCAGAATAAAAAAGCGAGAATACACGGACCGCTATAGCACCAAAACGACTTCAGTCATACGTTTAACCATCTACAGCACATTCTCCATCAATCTGAAGAACCATTTCACCAGGCAAAGAGCTCTTTAATCATGCAAATGGTTCTTTTTGTGTTCCTAGTTCTATACAGAACCACTGTCTTTACTAAAGGTCCTTTGAAGAACCATCTGTTTTTAAGAGTGAAATACTGCACATGGGGGACGGGCATATTTGACTATGAGCGAATCAGAAACTGCTAATTTAAATGAAAACTCTCTAGGCCAATCAGAAAACGCGACCATCAAGTTCTCTCACACTCACTATCAAGAACGCCCCGTTTGATAGTGAGTGTGAGAGGTTAGTTAGGATTTGGGGCTAAATGGCCTCACACACACTCACACACACACACACACACTCTCACACACACACACACACACACACACTCTCACACACACACACACACACACACACACACACTCACACACACACAAACACACACACTCACACACACACATACACACACTCACTCTCTCTCTCTCACACACACACACACACACACACATACACACACACACTCTCACACACACACACACACACCTACACACACACAAACACACGCACACACACACACACACACACACACAAACACACACACTCACACACACATACACACACTCACTCACTCTCACACACACACACACACACACACACAGACACACACACACAAACACACACACACACACACACACATACACACACACACACGCATACTTTCTCAGCAAATACTAATTATTATAAAAATACTTCTTTGCATCAAAACCTGTAATTCATTCATCTGCTCTATTAAATATAAACACAGTCCAATATTGTAATCAGTACTGTGTGATCTATTAATTCTGCTTTATTAGCTATAAATAGATAAAAGAAACACAAAACTGATCAGCTGCAGTGTCATTAAAATGGCATTGGGGGAGACAAAATGAGACTTTCAAAAATAAGAAAACTTCACAAACACCATTAACATGACCAATCTCGAAGTGTTGTGCATTGCTTTGCTATGGGTTCCGGGTTAAATGACATGTTTCACCAAAACAATGTGAAACAATGTGCAGCGGACCTTGAGATGTGTTTGAAGACACACTAACAGGGTTTATACTGTCTGTATAAAGAAAACATTCTCTATTTAAAGCGGCAGTTTAATAATAGACTTGATTATGTGATCTCTGAACTATTATCTCTATGAACAAGGACTGGAGTACATTAGAGATTACTCAACAGCTAAACATGGTCTGAGGAAAGTGTGTGATGACTTAGACATGCAGTTAGCACCATGCTAATTTTTGTGATATAAACTTTCATTGATAGTTAACTTCATTAGCCTTGTAGCACCAGTGCTAAGAATAAAGAAGCAAACTGTACCATTCGAAGTACTGTACTGTATTCGAAGAGTGTTATTGATTTTAACAGTTAGCTAAACTCTTCTCATCACCAAGGAACAGGCAGCATGTTGTAATTGGCAGGTTTAATGATGAAAAGTGTGAAACTACAAGAACAATATAAAATTTGAATAAATAGTGAAACTGTAATAGACTGTTTACATTAACATAAAGTGAGTCTAAACTAACAAACCACAAAGGAATAAACTAGAAAGGTATACAGAGATCAACACTAGATAGAATCTAACCAGAAGACATTCTTGCTGACTAGAAAAATTAACAGAGTGATAATATGAAAACCTCTAAAATGTACTGATAATGCCACATTTAAGGAGCATAAAAAGGACAGCAGATGTGAATGTCAAGAGTATCAGTAACGGCCACAGACTTACAAATAAACAATCAACTGTATGATTAAATCTAAACAGTGAAAGTATGCTTGGAATGTAGAATCCAATGGCTAGAACTGTAGTTTCATAAGAGTTCCATAACACAAACTACAGAAACAACAGTGACTCAGGAGCAGTGCTCACCATTCTGTTCCACATGACAGCATGGAGAACTCAGAATTATAAGTGTTTTTGGACTGTTCTTGAAATAACGCTGGATGAGGCCTCAGAAAAGTGATGTAGAAAATGTCAAGCCAATAAGTGAATCCCTGCGTGATGTGTAAGTGTTCCGTATGCATGTGCAACAGTTAACCTCGATCCTCAAATCTGATTCTTTTAACTGTGTGCACAGTTATATTGACTAGAACATGATTTCAACTAATGATTAAAACACATAACCGTTTACACCTTCATTGTTTAGTGAGTTTATTATTTTATGAATAATTGTTTTGTGTGGATTAAATTTCAGGTTTACGGTGAGAATAGTGGAGTGTAGCTCTTATTTTTTGTAGCCTTTAGCCTTTAGCAAACTATCAGAGAAAGTAAAGAAACATGTATAACAGATGGAGCAGTGTAGTACATAAAGTTCAGTTCTGAAATCTAAAATATTTTAGAACATTTTATTGCTCTTGCATATAAACAGCTTTGACTGCCATTGTTCCAGGTTGGAACCAGGAACTGTGTTAGATCACAAAGATTTTTTTCAAAGTTGTGTAAGTCTATTTTTAGGCTGAGTTGTTCCTCTTTAAGATGAGAATGAGAGCACCTTGATGGAGATTTCTCCAAGGGGCAATCGTGAAGACTCTATTCAAGAACTTTAGTTTTCAATTAAATTATGTGATGTTGTTTAGTTGTGGGGGTGGCGCAGTGGGTAGCGCTGTCGCCTCACAGCAAGAAAGGCCTGGGTTTGATTCCCTGGCTGGGTGACCAGGGTCATTTCTGTGTGGAGTTTGCACGATCTCCTTGTGTCTACGTGGGTTTCCTCCGGGTTTCGAGTGTGAATGTGTATGTCTGTCTGTCTGCCCAGGGTGTATCCTGCCTTCCGCCCAATGACAGCTGGGATAGGCTCCAGCACCCCCCACGACCCAGAAGGAGAAGTGGCTTAGACGATGTGTGTGTGTGTGTTTAGTTGTGGCGACCAGGGTCCTTCCTGTGTGGAGTTTGCCTGTTCTCCCCGTGTCTGTGTGGGTTTCCTCCGGGTACTCTGGTTTCCTCCCACAGTCCAAAGACATGCAGTCAGGCTGATTGGACATGCTAAATTGCCCCTAGGTGTGAGTGAATGTGTATGTCTGTCTGTCTGCCCTGCGATGGACTGGCGACCTGTCCAGGGTGTATCCTGCCTTCTGCTCAATGGATAGGCTCCAGCACCCCCCGTGACCCAGAAGGAGATGTGGCTTAGAAGATGTGTGTGTGTGTGTTTAGTTGTGTAGTTGTTTATATATTGTCTTTGCTTTATTTTTGATTTGTGTGTATTCCTAAAATGTATGACGTCCTGCCTTCCCCTCCACCTTACCTCTCCCCACCCTTGTTGTAAAACATGATGAAAAATGCAATAAAAAGTTGATCACAAAACACCTGGGGAGCTGTTACCAGGGAGCCATGGCTGTGTGGGCTGCCACCACTGAGCCATTAACATGGAGTCGTTGGTCAGTGGATCAGTTGGTCAGTGGAGCAGTTGGTCAGTAGGACTCAGTATATATTTCATAATAGTAGCTGTCATCCAGGTAGAAGAAATCCTCAAGTTTCCACTGCAGTGTTTCGAAGGTGGGCCGGTCAGCGGGCGTGTCCTTCCAGCACTCCATCATTATCTCATACAGAAGCTTTGGACAGTCCGCCGGACACGACATCCGATAGCCTCTACGCAACTTCTTCACAACCTGGACAGCAGTGAGGGCTGAGAGAGAGAGAGAGATACAGAGACAGTGATACACAGAGAGAGAGACAAAGAATTATAGACACAGTTTGTGTGTGTGTATTAGTGTGTGGGGTTAAGTGTATATGTGTGTGTGTGAGTGTGTGAGGTTAAGTGTGTGTGTGTGTGTGTGTGTGTGTGTGTGTGTGTGTGTGTGTGTGTTATTGATCTTCTTTCTTCCCTTCTTTTGCTATTGTACTGTGAATTGCCTTCTACTGTTCTGTGTGTGGAGCTCTATCGGGGCTGGGGATGCTGTGTGCTGGGGTGAAGTACTTCCTGGGGAGTAGCTACACAAGTAGAGGGAAAATGAAGAGAAGCTCCTTCACTAACACGTCCTTGTGCTTTTGTGCCCTGAGTGTATGTTGAGTTTTTGTGCTCGAGTGTGTTAGTAGACTTACTTGTCACCACTGCCTGAAGGGGATAAGTGGCAGTTTGTAGTGTCTTTTTCTCCTGGTTTTGGGTTAGTTAGAGAGTAGTGGAAGTTAACTATGTATTTTATTTCTCTTTGTTTTTCCTGGTTGACATTTAGGCAATTTGGGTGTGGGTGTGGGTGTGGTCACTGTTGGATCATGTTTATTGTTTTGGAGTTTGCTTACATACATGCTTTGCTTTGCAAGGATTTTATAGTGTGTGATCATGTATGAAGTGTGTAGTGTTTGTGAACAGTGTTTTATATATATATATATATACACATATATATATATATATATATATATGTGTGTGTGTGTGTGTGTGTGTGTATAATATAATATACTGTAAAAATAAATATATAAAGTGCTATATAAATAAACTTTGACTTGACTCTTGAGTTTTTGTGTGTGTGTGTGAATGGTGTATTTTTTATGTATGTGTATTGTGTATCTGTGTGTTTGTGTTGTGCTTGTGTATGATTTGTATGTGTGTATAGTTTTTATAGTGTGTGTGATTTGTGCATAAGGTGTGTAGTGTCTGTGTATAATGTGTATTGTGTTTGTGTCTGTGGTATGTATGTATGCGTATAGTGTGTAAATAGTGTATGTGTGTAGTATTTGCGTTTGTGTATGCCGTGTTTGTATATAATATATAGTTTTTAAAGTGCGTGTGATCATGCATAAGGTGTGTAGTGTCTGTGTATAGTGTATGTTGTGTGTACTGTTTGTGTGTAGTGCTTATGTATGGTGTATATAATGTGTATATATGATGTGTTTGTGTATATGAATGAATATTTATTTTATGTGTGTGATCATTTATAACGTGTGTGTAGTGCCTGTGTATAGTTGTGTTTTTTATGTAGGTGTGTATACTGTGTGTATAGTGTAAGTGTATGTTTGTGTGAGCATGTAGTGTGTGTGTGTGTGTGTGTGTAGTGTTTATATATAGCAAGCTGTGTGTATAGTTTGTATGTGTGTAGAGTGTTTCTGTGCGTATATGTATATAGTGGTGTGTTTGTGTGTGTATAGGTGTGTATAGTGTGTGTCTGTATATATGTTGTATTTGTGTGTATGTATGTATAGTGTTTGTATTGTATGTCTGTTTATAGTGTGTTGTGTATAGGTGTGCATAATGTGTGTGCATAAGGGGTGTGTATGGTGTGTATTGGTGTGTATAGTGCGTTTCTGTGTGTATATTTGTGTATAGTATGTACAGGATGTGTTTGTGTATGTACATATGTACAACATTTCTAGTGTATCTCTGTGTATAGTGTGTTTTTGTGCTTATATGTGTCTAGTGTGCAGTGTGTGTATGTGTATTATGTGTTTGTGTCTATGTATGTATAGTGTTTGTAGTGTAGTCCATTGCAGAATGAGCAGCCTTCCTCTCAGTTTAAACTCTAAGTTTAAGCTTTTCTAGACCCTTTTCCTCTGTAACAGCACTTTTTATCCTAATCTAACTATATAATCAACAATCAAATGAAAAACCTAATCTTAGTTTTTTTTTTTTTTTAATTTGATTATTTAACTATCCTAATTAATTTCTAATTTAATGATTTTCTCTTTTAAATTTATTGTGTTAATCAATTTTAAATTATTTTTCTATTTGCTTTCAGTTTTTTTAAAACAACTCTGAAAGTATTTTCTCATTTGTAAAGCACTTTAAATGACTGCAAGTTTTGAGAGGTGCTATATAAATAAACATGCCTTGTGTTTAGTGTGTAGTATGTATAGTGTGTGTATAGTGTCTTTGTATTGTGTGTGTAGTGTTTGTCTGTGTATACTATGTGTGTTTTGTGTGTGTGGTGTGTAGTGAGTGTACATGTATAGTGTATGTGTGTATATAATGTATGTGTAGTGGCTGTGTATAATGAGTGTGTGTGTATATGTGTGTGTGATATCGTACTTGGGTAAGGCATCTGTCCGAAGGTCATGATCTCGTACAGCAGGATGCCGAATGACCAGACGTCAGATTTGATACTGAATTTATTGTCATAAATGGCCTCGGGAGCCGTCCACTTCACCGGGAATTTAGTGCCCTCCTTCGCTTGGTACACAGGGTACTCCTCATCTCCATCATTACTTCTGTCTTTTTGTTCCTGACAAACAGAGCACTTATTTAATTTTATTTATTCACTCTATTTATTTACTTTTTTACTTCAAAATACTGCTGTTATTTTTAAATAAAATCAACAATGTCCATTCTTTTCATTTATATTTCTTCCATATTCACAAATATTCTTTGTAACTTGATCTTTTGTAACACATTATTGATCAGACCAATAAAACAGCTCACACTGAGCTGAACTGAGGGAGAGTCATTGACCTCCATGTAGGTCAGCAGAATTATCTGAGTGATCTGAGGTGTGAACATGTGTTTTGTGTTGTTACTCACCATAAACACTCTGCAAAAACTAAAAGCTGTCAACTTGCACATGTTGTTTTCCCCCACCAGAACATTCCGGGCTGCCACATCTGTGTGGATGTAGTTCTGCAACTCCAGGTACGCCATACCTGCTGCAACCTGAGCCGCCATCTCTATCTGATCAGAAAGACGTAAAGCAGCTCCTCTGTCTTCTGCAGGAGAAATAAAAGGAAAAAAAAGACTTGAAATGGTGGTTGAGCCAAAAGTCAAGGAAGAAATGAAAATCCCCAAAACCTTCAGAGTTAAACAGCAGCTGGAGTGGAAATCTATCATAATCGAAATTACAGAAATAGAAATATAACATGAACTGATAATAGAAATCTCTATGTGGGTCAGTGGGTAACCTCCACTAGTGGTTACACTAGTACTAACAAGTTTTGAGATTGCATTTTCTTTTTTTATTCATGCAAAATATCTGATGAAATTATAATCCATTCTGCCAGCACAAACGTCAGTGGCATTACAATCTGAAATCTGAAACCAGCTTGTACAGGCCTATGGGTTTTAGACTCTAGCTTTGGGGGCTCTTTGGACCTCTCCAGCAAAGGGGGAAGTGTATGTTTTATGATCAGCAATGCTTGGTTTGATCAGGGGAACGTACGCTTCATTGATATATATACACAATGAACTTAGATATGTATGGAATGAACATTGATATATATGGAATGAACATTGATATATATATATATATATATATATATATATATACATACAATGAACATTGATATATATACAATGAACTTTGATATATATTGAATGAAAGTTGCTGTTGAAGGGTTGAGGATGGCCAAGAAAAACTGTACATCAATAAATGGGCATTAACAAACTCCAGGTAGAGCTTAAAGGAAGGGAATTCTGATAAAGTGACCAGTATCTATACACAGTGATCCCGTGCACAGAGTGACCTGAGAGTGGCTGATATATGATGTGAAGACACAGATGGGTGGAGCTTCAATATGTACATAATTTGACATGGTGCAGAAGAAGAGTCAGATGAGGCCATAAGGGAAAACAGTGCCACTTGAAAAGTGACTGAAAATTGAGGTAGGTCACTCCTAGCCCTGCTCTTTCTTCTGAGGGTCACCAAACACAAACACACTCTCCCTAACTCTGAGCTGGACACAGAATAGGCTACAAGGCTACAACACACACAACCCCAAAAGTCCCTCTCTGTCTAAACAGAACATTTTATGAATTATATTATTCATTTTTTCATCTCAATGTTCGATCCATGTACATCAAGGTTCATTCAATATATATCAATGTTCATTCCATATATATCAAAATCATTCCATATAAATCAATGTTCATTCAATATATATATATCAATGTTCAATCAGTATATATCAATGTTCATTCCATATATATCAATGTTCATTCCATATATATCAATGTTCATTCAATATCTATCAAAGTTCATTCAATATCTATCAATGTTCATTCAATATCTATCAATGTTCATTCAATATCTATCAATGTTCATTCCATATATATCAATCTTTGTTGTACTGAGATATATGGAATGAACATTGATATATATTGAATGAATGAATTTCATAACTTGTACTGGAATGGTGCAATGAAATTTTATTGTTCTTTTCAAAATTAATTGCCCATTTTGATTTTGGGAGAGGGGAACAAAAGCCTGGTAAAGTTGTGCAATGCTAAAAAAATGCCTGGTGGTTGATTGACAACAGGTCTGTAACATGATTTGGTATAAAAGATCATCTCAGAGAGGCGGAGTCTTTCAGAAGTAAAGGTGAGGAGGGGTTCACCACTCTGTGAAAGACTGCACCATCGAATAGTGCAACAAATAACGTAAAGAATAGAATAACGTAAAATAGCAAAGAACTTGCTTTTCTTCATCTATGGTACATAATATCATTAAAAGATTCAGAGAATCTGGAGAAATCTCTGTATGTAAGGGACAAGGCCAAAAACCAGTATTTGCTGGCCGTGATCTTTGGGCCCTCAGGCGGCACTGCATTAAAAACAGACATGATTCTGTAGTGGAAATCACTGCATGGGCTCAGAAACACTTCTGAAAACCACTGTCTGTGAATACATTTCATCACTGCATCCACAAATGCATATTAAAATTCTAAAACACAAAGAAGAAACCATATATAAACCACAACATATGTAGCCATCCAGACAATGTCTTTTTCAGGGAAGGCCTTGATTATTTCAGCAAGACTATGTCAAACCACATTCTGCATGTACTACAACAGCATGGCTCTGTATTAAAAGAGTCCGGGTGCTAAACTGACCTGCCTGCAGTCCAGACCTGTCACCACTGATAACATTTGGCACATTATGCAATGAAAAATACCACAAAGGAGACCCTGAACTGATGAGCAGTTGAAATCCTATGTTAAGCAAAAATGGGCAAAAACATTTCACTTTCAAAACATGCCCCCGTCCCAACTGTTTTGGAATGTGTTGTTGGCATCAAATTCAAAATTTTTCAAAAAACAATAAAATTTCTCAGATTTTAAGAAAACACCTGGTCCTGATAGTGTCCCCAAGATGCTACTGCAGATAATGCTGCACCAGTATATTAAACTGCATTCCAGTGCTCATATTTTAAGTTCCCCCAGACATGTACTTTTGACATTTGATCACATCTGGCCCCACAAGACTAGGACAAAAGAACTAAACTGTCTGACTGAAGGATACTGTGGCCTTTTACTTGTACTTTTACAACTCAATTAGTACACAATTGGACCTTAAAGATCATGTCATACCTTTGAGGGCACATTTAAATTGTTTATATCTTGGTGAAAAAAATTTACAGGTACCATACTGTTTATGCAGACAGTTTGAGGACTGCCTGCTACACCAACTACAGCAGTTATATCAGGGGCAGTGCTTGGATATTCAAAGATCAGTTCAGGCAGTCCTAAGTAAACATTGAATTCTGTATAGAGTCCTGATCGGGATTGATTAAATGGATACATTTCCATGTTTGTAAATGCATGTATGCGTATATGCAATTATATTTGTGTATAAGTGTGTCTGTATATCTCACTCTGCAGGTACTCCAGCAGGCTGCCGTTGCTCATTAACTCAGTGATGATGTAGATGGGCTCCCCCACAGTGCACACTGCGTACACCTGGGTCAGTTTGGGGTGTCGGAGCCTCTTCATGATCTCTGCTCCACGCAGGAAGTCCTCGGCATCCATACTGCCTGAAGAGCCACCAGAACACACACATCAACATCCACTCTGCTTGAGGAATGTCAGTATAGCACGAACACACGTTCTGCCTGTGGCATCACTGTGTGTATGAGAGTGTGTTTACCTGGTTTGAGAGATTTCACAGCGACTGAAGTCATGTGATTCCACAGTCCCTCATAATCCTCTGCAAACTGTCCAGCACCGAGTTTCTTCAGCAGCTGGATGGAGCTGCGGGGAATCTCCCAATGATCGACAATGTTGTCATCAAGAGCCTGTGAACCTTCAGCCTGACACACGCATACAAATAAAGTCTTATTTTACAGTAGTTGAGAAATAAGTAGTGGTTAATAGTTGTCAGTCAATAGTGGTAAGTGGTTGAGTGGCAGTGGTCAGTAGTGGTAGTAACAGTCAGTAGTTGAGCAGTCAGTATTAGTCAGTACCTGAATCTGTCGGTATTGGTCAATATTAGTTGATGAATCAGTAGTAATAAGCAATTGATTTATCAGTTGCAGTAAGTAGTTGAGAAAGTAGTGGTTATTAGTTGACAGATCAATAGTTACTGATAATTGAGAAGTCAGGAATTATCAGTGGTTGATTAATCAGTAGTGATCAATCAAAATCAGATTTTTAGGCCAAGTGTTGACCTCACACAAGGAATTTGGTTCCAGCAGTTGGTGTCTTTCTAAATTATATGCAATACAGAGAAGAGGTACATATGAGTGTGATGGACTTGACTATTTTATTCATAACTGAATAATACTTAATACTTAAATATGTTCTTTTACTTAATGCTATACAACCATGCTCAGAAATCTATGTATGTGAAGTTGTCTTATGGTTAATTTGAGCAGACATGCAGACAAAGAGGCAGTATGTTCATAAGAAATTGAGAGCGAAAAGCTTTTTCCCTGCATTAGATTCACCCACAAGAGGGTTCTTCATATAAACAGGAGATAAAGAAAGAAGGGAAAAAGAGAGAGAATATCTGACCTCCAATAGAACAGAAGTATAGCCCTCTCTAGTTTACACTTTAAATCTGCAGATTTTAGATTTAAATTTTATGTTTTTTTTTTTTCGTTCAGTAGTTGAATAGTGGTCAGTGGTTACTGGTGTGTATGTATGTGTGCAGTGGTCAGTACCTTGCAGGGCTCTTTGAGCTGGACAAAAAGTCTGTCCTTCTGTCGGCTATATGGCTGCATCAGCTCTTTTTGTGCTTGGAAATTGAAGTTCCTAGATACAAAATAATGATTTCAACAACAACACAATTCAATTCAGTTTAATTTATTTTAATCACATTCATGAACTTCCATTATTCTTACAGTAAGAGGTCAGTGTGACTGAATGATGGAACATTCCAGAAGAAGCTATTCAGAGGGCCGCCTACACTCTTCTGGATGCAGTTATTTTACAGAATGTATCCAAAAAATATTCCACCCATCCCCCCCTGCCTACCACAAATTTTGTCAATGAGTCAACACAACACCTCAAATTCAGCTTCTTTTTGCAGCCTCCCTTTGCAAAGATAACAGCTCTGAATCTCTCCTATAATGCTCAGTGTGATTGTAGACCTCTCCAGATCCTTCAGAACCTGAGCTCCACCTTGTGGACTCTCCTCTTCAGCTCATCCCACAGTCCACTAAATTTCCAGTAATGTTTGGCAAACTGTAGGAGCTTGAATTTGTTGGTCCGTGAGAGCAGAGGCTTTCTTCTGGCACAACTTGTGGTGATATAGGTGGTGTTTGTAGTTTCAGAGACATTCTGACTCCCACACTAAACTTAATGATTCCCCATCTGTGATCATTGGAGATTCTTTTTTCACTCTAACTGTCATCCTCACTGTGTGGGGTCATTAAACACCTATAGTCTTCTAATGATTAATTGTGTGATAGTTCTTTTACTGTACAGAAAGAAATAATGCAAATTTGAGTAAATTATCTCTCGGTCAGTGGTTTGCAACCATGGTAGAACTCTCTAAAGGCTAAATTTGTTAAAAAACTGTGCCTCTAATAACAGTTTGCAATTAGTTTTTCAGTCTGACCCCAACTTTTCTTTTCTCTGCGGACAATGAGAAAATGCGGGTAGCCATACAATGTGAGCCCCAGACGCTGACCAGAGAGCTGCAGCAGTTGGATTGGCAGATCAGGGATCTCCTGGACTGGACCTAGCTCCATGAGTGGAAAACATGTTTGGAAATAGTCGAAACTGGACACTCCACTGTGTCTGTGGCTAGATTTCACAATGTCACCCCCACACCAGGGCAGGGCTGGGAGCACAAGCACAGCAAGGGAAACAGATTGTCTCTATTGCCTCCTCTGCCAGACTTCACCTCCAGTAACCGTTTTGAAGCCCTCAGCTCTGCATCTGCCTCAGACCCTTAGAAAGTCAGGGCAGTGTTTTAGTGTTTGGAGACCTCATCATTAGACACCTAAAAGTGGCTGGTTCTAGAGGTAATTCTGTTATGTCTTGTTTTCCAGGCATATGGGTCTTGGATATATCTACAAACATCAGCACCATGGGGGTTAATGACATCCTAATTCATCAGAGTAAAGCTCTCAGCTTTCAGGCTGCTGCAGTGCTTCAGACAGTGACTCAGGGCAGTATTTTAGTGATCGGAGACACCTGAAAGTGGCTGGCTCTGGAGGTAGTGCTGCTATTTTTTTTGTTGTCCAGGCACCTGGGTCTTGGATATATCCAAGTGATTTCCAGTGACTTAAGAAGAGGATAGAAACCATTAAGAATGGATCGATGCCAGAATTGTCATCTTAGGACCTTTGCCCACCTATAAGAGAGGAAGCGAAGTCTTCAACAGGCTCTATGCACTTCACTGTTGGATCCAAGGCTGGTGTGATAATAACTGCTACATGAGTAACTGGAGTACTTTCTGAGAGCAACGAGCATTCTTCCGAGCCACCATGGGTCTATCATCCTCCTCAAGAACACAGAAAAGGTACTATACCAGGCCTGACTGAATGTAATGGTAGTAAACAATGGATGGGTAAGTAGTATCGACAGCAGACAGGTAAATGCTTTTAATGCTATAGATAATGCTTCCTCAATTTCTACCATTCCCCCTTTTCACTGCTGTCATAAAACAGGTATGATTCTGCAGTGGAAATCCATGCATAACATAGCATTTTTGTCCCTACAAAATTATCAAAAAACAAACACTCCTGCATGGAATTTGGTGGATTTTGGAGTTTTTAATGCAAACCCATCTAAAACAAATGCTGACAAATATACATTAAAAAAACCTACTTTGTTTCAGAGTTTAGCCATTGGTAATTTGTAGTACCTGACATCCAGCTTGATTAAGCCCTTGAGTTTCCACTGCAGCAGTGTGAAGGTGGGCCGGTCAGCGGGCATGTCCTTCCAGCACTCCATCATTATCTCATACAGAATCTGTGGACACGTTGCTGGACATGACATCCGATAGCCACTACGCAACTTCTGCACAACGTGGAAATTAGTGAGAGCTAACACAGAGACACAGAGAGAGAGAGAGAGGGAGAGAGAGAGACATGGAGAGACAGATGAAGGCAGAATGAGAGAGAAACAGTGAGAGAGTTACATATACATAGTGTGTGTAATGTACATGTTCATAGTGTGTGTGTGTGTGTGTGTGTGAGTTAGGGTGTGTGTACAGTGTGAGTGTTTACACTTGTGAGTATAGTTTGTGTGAGTGGTATGTGTTTGTGTTTATATAGTGTGTGTAGTGTGTATAATGATTTTGAATGTGTGAGGTTGTACAATGCATTTGGAAAGTCTTTAGACCCTTTTACTTTTTTCACACTTTGTTTTGCTGCGGCCTTGTGCTAAAAAAAGGTTTTCTCTATTCTGCACTCAATACCCCATAAAATCAAAGTCAAAACAGAATTTTAGAAATTGTTTCACATGGACATATGTGTTCAGACTCTTTGCTATGCCACCTCAAATTTCTCTTGATTATCTCCGAGATGTTTCTACACCTTGATTGGAATCCACCTGTGGTAAATTCAGTTGATTGGACATGATTTGGAAAGACACACACCTGTCTATATGCATATCAGAGCCAAAACCAAGCCATGAGGAGGAAAGAACTGCCTGTCGAGCTCAGAGGCTACAAAACATTCTGCTTCTGAAAATTCCCAAGAGCACAGTGGCCTCCATAATAAGTTTAAAAGAACCTTTTCCTGTAGATGGCCACACCACCAAACTAAGTAATCAGGGAACAAGGGCCTTGGCAAGAGTGTTGACCAAGAACCCAATGGTCATTCTGGCTGAGCTCCAAAGATCCTTTGTGCAGATGGGAGAAACTTCCAGAAGGTCAACTATCACTGTAGCACTCCACCAATGCACTTTATGGCAGAGTGGACTGACAGAAGCCTCTCCTCGTTAAAAGGCACATGAAAGCCTGCCTGGAGTTTAGCAAAAAAGCACCTAAAGGACTCTCAGACTGTGAGAAACAAGATTCTTTGGTCTGATGAAACCAAGATTGAACTTTTTTGGTCTCAATTCTGTGTCATGTCTGGAGGAAACCAGGCATTCTTAATGAAAACTTGATCCATAGCACTCAGACTTGGCTGAAAGTTCACCTTCCAAAAGGACAACTCATCTTGCACCTGTGTAAATGTGATGTGACAATAAACGTGATTTGATTTGATTTCGATTATGTACTGAGTAAAGGGTCTGAATACTTATGTCAGTGCAAAATTTAAGTTTTTCCTTTTCAATAAATTTGCAAAAAAATGTATTGTTTTCACTTTGCCATTATGGGGTATTGAGTGCAGACTGATGGGGAAAAGCTTGTTTTTTTTTATTTTAGCACAAGGCCACAAAATGACAAAATGTGAAAAAAGTGAAAGGGTCTGAAGACTTTCCAAATGCACTGTATGTGTGAAGTGAGTATGTGTGTGAGTATAGTGTGCGAGTACGTGTGTATATGGTGTAAACCTGTGTGTATAGTGTGTGTGTGTGTGTGTGTGTCTGTGTGCATGAGTGATGTAAGTAGTGTGTATAGTGTGTGTGTAAATAGCATACATGTATATATAGTGTGTATGTGTGTATAACATGTTGTGTATTGAGTGTGACTGTATATTCTGTGTAGTGTGTGTCCATATGTATTTATGGTGTGTAGTGTGTGTACAGTGAGCATGTGTGTATATGGGTGTACAGTGTGTTGTGCAAGTGTGTAGTATTTTTGTGTAAAATGTGTAGTGTGCGTGTATGTACTATGTGTGTTCTGTGTATGTGTATATAGTGTGTAGTGTGTGTATACACTGTGTGTATTGCGTGCATATGTGTGAATGGGCAAGTGAATAGTGTGCGTGTATGTGTATAGTGAGAACGCATAATTTGTGTGTAGTGTGTATAGTGAGTGATATGAGTATAGTGTGTGTATTGTGTGTATGTATTGTGCTAATGTGTATATATGTGTTTAATGCGCATGTGTATATAGTTTTTGGAGTGTGTATAGTGTGTAATGTATGTGTATAGTGTGTTTAGTGTGTATGCATAGTGTGTGTGTATATTGTGTGTTTTTAGTGTGAGTCTATAGTGTGGGTTGTAGAGTGTGTGTGTGTGTATGTGTGTATAATAGATGTAGTGTGTTGTGTGCATGTAGTGTATCTGTGTATGAATTTGTGTGCATAGTTTGTGACTGTAGTGTGTGAGTGTATGTGTGTAGCGAATAGTGTGTAGTGTAGTGTGTGTGTGTGTGATCGTACTTGGGTAAGGCATCTGTCCGAAGGTCATGATCTCGTACAGCAGGATGCCGAATGACCAGACATCAGATTTGATACTGAATTTATTGTCATAAATGGCCTCGGGAGCCGTCCACTTCACCGGGAATTTAGTGCCCTCCTTCGCTTGGTACACGTTCTCCTCATCTCCATCATCAATGTTATCATTATATTTCTGACAGAGAGAGACAAAGTAATTTTTGTTATCATTTTTTTATTTATTGACCGTATTTTAGTTAAAATGCTGCTGTTTTCTTCTAACAAATTGTAAACAAATCTAATATTGTATTTCCAAATATTCTTTGTAGTCTGAGCTTTGTCAACACATTATCAATCAGATCAATAAAACAGCTCACACACTAAACTGAGGGAGAGTCATTGACCTCCATATAGATCAGCAGAATGAGCAGAGTGGATGAACCTGTGGTTTGTGTTGTTTCTCACCATAATCACTCTGGCCAGACCGAAATCTGCCACTTTACACACATTGTTTTCCCCCACCAGGACATTCCGGGCTGCCAGGTCTCTGTGGATGTAGTTCTGCAACTCCAGGTACGCCATACCTGCTGCAACCTGAGCAGCCATCCCTATCTGATCAGAAATATATAAACCAGCTTCTCTGTCTTCTGCAGGAGCAAAAACTACTTTTTCAGGAAAGTAAGAAATAAATAAAGAAAGAAAAAACAAAGAGAAAGAGATAGTTCAGCCAAAAATCAAGTGAAGGAAGGACTAGTGTCTCCTTTAGAAAAAGTTTTGTGAGAAACAAGTCTATTCTTATTGTCTCTCTCTTATGCTCCACATGATAGAAATAGAATTATAACATGGGCTGATTGATAAAAATTAGTGAGCTATTTCCATGGTTTACAAACTTTTGTTTCTAATTTTTTTCCAATTTTCCCACCAATTTAGTCATATCCAATTACATCCACTGGTTAGGACTCTTCTAATCACAAAATACCACCAGCACTCGGAGGGCAAAGGCTAGCAAAAACTTCCCCCCAAGTCACGTGAAGCCTCGCCACATCTTTTCGAACTGACACCATGGATAGCTGAACATGCTCAGAAGTAAGCACCAACTGCCAGTTCTGTTACATCAGCTATCAGACACCTATGCTGGGTAGCATCATGCTGAGTGATGGGGAAGAGGAAGGACCATCCTGCCCATCCAGACAGAGTGAGGCCAAATGTGCTCTCTTGGAATCCCGGCCATGGATGGCTGTAGCGTCCCCAGGGATCGAATTCATGATCAACTAATGATAGGGCCAAAACTTAGACAGCCACTTGGGATCCCCTAGAGTAACATGTTTTCAGATGGCACAAAGGAAAAGTAGTTTGATGAAATAATCTATTCTGCCAGCATTCAGTTCAGTTGCATTTTAGTTTAAAATCTAATGGGTAAAGAGAGTCCACTGCCTTGGGGGCTATTTTAGTAAGACTAAGGCTGACAGAAAAGTAATATGCAGACAGTGCACAATAGTCTGTTTCCATAAATGTGGTTTGCTAGCAGTCTCTTGTAGAGATGATCAAGGACTAGTTGTCATCGTGTATTCCTCTTCACCACTGGACTTTATCATCGCCAAGATGGTGCACCTTCAGCAGCACTCAACGAACATCCCTGTGGAGATTTTCCCTTTTGGCTAATTCAATCTATAGCTAGAGCACTATCATAAAGTCTGTTGCCAATGTGTAGGACTATTGACTGGGCCAGTCTGAACTGGAGGTGTCTAAGCGCAGTGCTGCATTCCCGTACCTGGATTTGAGTGGCAGCGGTTCTCAGCAGACTCCTGTGTGACTGAGCAGCCCTATTTAGCAGCTACACTGCTGACCATAATGAAGAGGGGCTTAGAAAAGTTGGCCAAAATACTGTCCACTCAGACAGCCCTGGAGATATCAGTACAAGGACTGGACAATTTCTAAAAAAATAAACAACTACATGAATGAACCACCGGTATTCTTTCTCCAGTAAAACATGGAACTTTCAAATCATCCTCCCACATCCAACAATTCAAGCTCTGAATTCCCTGCCAACATTCACCAAGGTGCTATCTGCAACCAATACCCTGAAATCCAAGAAGATCCCTGGTCCTGATAGGTTCCCAGGCTGCTATTGCATAAAGAGCTGGACCAACAGATTTCACTGAACTCAAACACCAAAATTTTAAGTTGCTCCCAGTAATTTTGACATGTGATCATATCGGGTCCCACAAATCTAGAAAAGAAGAACTAAACTGTGCCTTTCAGATGGATGCTATGATTCTGAACAACTTATATCACTCTCTCTATGCACCACACTGCTTAATTGTGGAAAACATGCAGGATAACATCAAGTGCTGGAGCACATCAAGAAATTAGGTGTAGTCCAACATTGAAAACTAACCATATATTAAGGCAAAGGTGCTAAATGCCAACTGCAGCAACATCAGGGAGATATTCCTTCTGTTACCTGACAGAAAAATCTTAGATCTTTTTGTGGCATTCATTGACTTTTCAAATGCTTTTGCGGGAAGTCCTCATCAGGCTTGGCAGCCCACAGAGATATATCTGCTTTTTCATTTTATGTGTCTACTTACAATGTTTAAGTTGTTAAAAATTACAAATGCTTTCTCCCCCTTTACTGTACATGTAAAACTCAACTGGTGCACAATTGAACCCAAAAGATCATGTTGTAACTTTGAAGGTATGTGTGCATTGTGTGTATCTTGGGGGACTAAAAATTTACAAGGACAGTATTGTTTATTAACAGTTTGAGGACTGCCTGCTATGCCAAATATGGCAGCTACATCAGGGGCAGCACTTGGATAAACCAGTTCAGACAGTCCTAAGTAAACCCTGAACTCTACATGCAGTCCTGGAACATGCTCATTTGGATTGATCTGGCTGGATTTTTGATTTTTGATTCATTTATGAATATGTATGCATTTACATATATGTAATCATGTGTTTGTGTGTGGGTGTTTGTAAATCTCACTCTGCAGGTACTCCAGCAGGCTGCCGTTGCTCATTAACTCAGTGATGATGTAGATGGGCTCCCCCACAGTGCACACTGCGTACAGCTGGATCAGATTGGGGTGTCGGAGCTTCTTCATGATCTGAGCTTCATGCAGGAAATCCTTGGCATCCATACTGCCTGAAGAGCCACCAGAACACACACATCAGCATCCACTCTGCTTGAGGAATGTCAGTATGCCATCAAAGCACATTCTGTTAGAAGTATCACTAAATGCATGAGTGTGTTTACCTGGTTTGAGAGTTTTCACAGCAACAGAGGTTGTGTGATTCCACACTCCCTCATAAACCTCTGCGAACTGTCCAATGCTGAGTTTCCTCAGCAGCTGGATGGAGCTGCGGGGGATCTCCCACTGATCGACTGTGTTGTTGGACAGATCATAAGTCTGTGGAGTTTCAGACACACACACACACACACACACACACACACACACACACAATTAAAGTCTTATTTCACAGTAGTTGAAAAATCAGTGGTTAATAGTTGTGTCAGTCAATAGTATTCAAAAGTGGTAATAAAGTCAGTAGTTGAGTAATCAGTAGTTGAGACAGTCAGGAATAGTCAGTAACTGAATCTGTCAGTATTGGTCAGTGTTGACAAATCATTAACCATCATCAAACAAGTGATTAATAATGATAGTAGTAGTGGTTGACAGTCAGTAGTGGTCAGTGGTTGAGAAGTCAGTGGTAATTGTAAGTAGTTGAGTAGTCAGAGGTGGTGGTCAGTATTTAAGTCAATCAATAGTGGTCAGTAGTTGAGTAAATCAGAACTTGTCAGAAGGCAAGTCAGTCAGTAGTAGTTCAGTAGTTTAATAGTAATCGTTAGTGGTTGAGTAGTTGAATAGTAAGTAGCGGTCAGTAGTTGAGTAGTCAGTAGTTACTGGTGTGTATATGTATGTGTGTATCAGTCAGTACCTTCTTGCAGGGCTGTTTATGCCCAAACTGGGCATAAAGTCTATCGTGCTGCTGTAGCTCTTTCAGTGTTTGCAAATTCTGGTAATGGCTACAACAAAAAAAATTAAAGGAATTAGACCTCCACATTTAACCCATTCGTGCACACACACTAGTGGCAGTGAGGACACTTGGCCGGGGCAGTGGGCAGCCCTATCCATGGCGCCCGGGGAGCAAGTGAGGGTTGGGTGCCACTTCAGTCACATACTGTCGGCCAAGGGGTTCATACTGGCGACCTTCCAGTCACAAAGCTGGTTCCCTAACCTCCAGCCCACAACTGCCCCCAATTACACAATTTACAATTCAGTTTAATTGAATCACACTCAGGCACTTCCATCATTCCTGCATTAAGAGAACAGTGTGACTGAATGATGGAACATTCCAGAACAAGCTGTTTAGTGGGCCGTTCACCCTCTGTTGTTATTTATCAGAATCAATAAATAACTGCTTTTCTAAATCATCACATACTTGCTTTAGTCAAGTTGGCTTCCTAATCACTGGCTTCTTATTGGAATTGCTTCATGGTATGGAGTAAATTAATTTTCTCTTCACTAACACACAATATCATAGTGATTATCAGTGGTATGATTTAAACTGAAGAAATCAGAGAATGCACACTCTTAAAAATAGATGCTTAAAATGCCATAGATTAATCACTTTTTATTCCTTTAAGGAACAATTTCAACAGATGATGCTTTTAAAAATCTTCTTTTGTGTGTATGTGTGTGAATGAGATGTGCGTATTAATATGAAGAAACTTTTTAAAGATTAAAAGTACAGTACTACACTTTTAAAAGTAATGAATCTCATATAGTTGTTGGCTTAGACATACAGTTTTAGGAAAAAAAAACTCTTGATTATTTCTAGAACCTTTACATTTAATCCATTTGAGACAAGTGCCATTTGTGTTCCAGAAATAATCATTCAGCAGTACCTGACATCTTTTAACGCTCATGTACCTAAATGCAATTAAATCACCCAATCCTGCCAAAGTTATTTTACCTGGTATACAGATGCACTGAGGAGTCATAATCCAAAATCCTAAACCCGGCATAGAGCGGTTCAGTGAACTTGGTGAAGAATGTGTGCAGGTGGGTCAATGCCTGTGTTTTAGGTGAAATGCTATAGAAGGACAGAACGCCGGACTCCCAGTCCAGATATACGCCCACTCTGTTAGAGGGGGAGGGGGGGGCAGATACAGCAGTGATCTTATTATTGTGTCTGACAGAGTATCTGTTTTTAGAGCAGTACAGGCTCCAGGACTGGTTATTGTTTCCAAACACACAGTCGTCACCACCTCCTTTCCTCCCGATTCCTCTGTATGATACAGCTATCTCAGGCCTCCCCCCACTCCACTCAGCCTCCCAGTAACAGCGTCCAGTCAGACTCTCCACACTCAGAACCTGTGACCAGTGCTCAAATCTGTCTGGATAATCGGGATACGGCTGATCCTTCCTCACACTCTCCACTTTTCTGTTCCTCTCAGACAGAGACAGACAGCTGTTCACTGTGTTTGGATCCAGAGTGAGATCACACACATCTGTACACACACACACACAAACCAAACAGATTAGAGACCGTGTGTGTGTGTGTGTGTGTGTGTGGGTGTGTGTGCGTGTGTGTGTGTGTGTGTGTGTGTGCGTGTTTGTGTGTCTTACATCTCTTTAGTTTTGGTCTCATCCTGATCGTCCCTCCATGATCCACCCTAAAAAATACATTTGGATTTTTTATTAAGGTACACAATTTGAAATACACAATTTTTTTTCCTTTTTATTCCACTGCTTGCAAAAACAGTTACAATTATAACAGTGTCATTCCACAATACCTTATGAACCATCTAGCCCCCCTCCATCTTCTGGATCCCTAAATCCCCTCTAACCCCCTAACCCACCCTTCCCACCTTTCCCACCCTTCCCACCCAACCCTGAATACCCCCCACCCACAGTCTCTCCCCTAACTTAAAGCATAAATGAATAAAATAAAATAGTAAAATAAATAAATAAAGGATAAACAATGATGGGCAAATTAGAAAGTAAACAAATACAAATAAATAAAACTGTCTGCAAAAACATAAAACAAGTAAATAAAAAAGATAAGGACGTCCTCTAATCTGTATTTAAGTTAGATAAACATTTAAAATAGGACATGAATGGTTGCCAGATCCGGTCAAATATGTCTGCAGTACCTCTCAGGCTAAATTTAATCTTTTCCAAGTCCAAGAAAAACATGACATCAGTTAGCCATATACAGTGTGAGGGTGGGGTGGTGGTTTTCCAAGCCAGAAGGATCCTTCTCTTAGCTAAGAGGAGGGCAAAGACAACTGCCTCTGCTACTTGGGGCTTGGAGAAGAGAGATTCTGCCAAGACCCCAAATAATGTAAGCAGTTGGCCGGGGATTATGTTGCATTCAAAGGCCTCAGTTAGTGAAGTAAAAACAGTAGACTAGAACCTCTTAAGCTTTGTGCAGGTCCAAAACATGTGTAACAGGTTGGCCGGTGTGCCACCACAGCGAGGGCATGATAGGTCTACCCCTGGGTAAATGCCTGCCAAACTAGCATCGCAAAAGTATGCTCTATGGACCAGAACAGTGCAGGAAGAAGAATAATTTATCCTTTTTAATGTTTTAGACCACCAGTCCTCGTCTAGCTCCCCCCGAGCTCCAACTCTAACCCAGACCTGGTTGTCAAGGGCCGATCAATAAGAGAGAAGACGCTGTTATAGATAAGCGAGATTATCCTTCTTGAATTAACAGGCAGAGTAAAAAACTTTTCCCAAGCCAAATCAGGGGATCGCCCAGGGAATGGAACAAAGAGGGTCTGGGTGCAGTGACGAACCTGAAAATATCGAAACATATTAGTGCGTGGAAGATTAAATCTTGAACACAGTGAAGCAAAGCTACAGAAGGTATCATCATTATATATGGGTCCCTAAAAGTACAGATTCCCAGTCCATTCCAAGTGCTAAAAGATATGATCCAGGATGGAGGGTGTGAACAGGTGGTTTCTACCTATGGGACTGAGGGTGGACGCTGTTCTAAAGTGGAATCGTCTAAGAAATTGCACCCAAATCTTCAGCATAGCTACAACTAAGGGGTTAGAGGAATGTCGAGAGGGGAAAAGTGGAAGGGAAGAGAATACTAAGACGTTCAGAGATGTGGACTGGCATGATAGTGATTCTAAAACACACCAATTGGTGTCCGGTGATTGAATCCAGAATGCAATCTTATGGATGTTGGCTGCAAAATAATAAAATAGAAAATTAGGGAGGGCCAAACCCCCCTCAACTTTGGCCCACTGAAGAGTTGTCTTACTGACCCGGGGGACTTTACTACTCCAGATAAAATGTATAGTAGCTTTATCAAGAGTCTTGAAAAAAGGCTTAGGTAAGAACACAGGAAGACATTGAAATAAGAACAAGAATTTGGGGATAATATTCATTTTAACATTTTGAATTCGACCTGTAAGTGAGAGGGGAAGATTGCTCCTCCTCTGAAAGTCCTCCTTCATGGATGACATTAGGGAAGTATAATTAGCCTCTTGAATGGAAGATAAAGAACGGGTGATATTAATACCAAGATATCTGAAGCCGTCTGGGGCCAAACAAAAAGGAATACTGGTCTGGTCTACTTGAGATGAGGGAAAATTTAGAGGGAAAAATTCACTTTTCTCAAAATTTAGTTTATACCCTGAAAAAGAGCAGAATTCCTTTAAAATGGATTGAATTGCCGAAATTGAGGATCGGGGATGACTGATGAATAATAAAAGATCGTCTGCATATAGTGAAACTACGCTCTACACCATAGTGTGATATACCCTGAATCTGTGATGATGCTTTGAGGGCAACCAATAAAGGCTCCAAGGCTAAAATGAACAAGGCAGGACTTAATGGACAACCCTGTCGAGTACCATGTTGTAAAGGAAAAGAAGGAGAAAAAACTGAATTAGTAGAAACAGAGCAGAGGGTGAAGAATAAAGTAGCTTAATCCAAGAAATCAAATTTTTACCAAAGCCGAATTTGTCAAGGACAGCAAAAAGGTAGTCCCACTCTAGGCAGTCAAAAGGTTTTTCCGCATCTAAAGATATAACAGCCTGAGGGACATGAGAGGAGCTAAAAGTAAACACATGTTCAAAAGCCTACGGACTATTTGAGAATAAATACCGTCCTTTAATAAAGCCAGTTTGGTCATCTGAGACAATCAAAAGTAGGACTGGATCAAAATGTTTAGCTATCACCTTTGCTAAAATTTTGTGCTTATTGCAGAGTAAAGAAATTGGTCAGTAAGAGCCACATGAAGTTGGATCTTTGTCGTTTTTCAAGATAAGCGAGATTGTTGCCTGAGTAAAAGTTGGGGGTAGGCAGCCACTATCTAGCGACTCATTGAACACTTCCAGGAGAAGCGGTGACAATTTATCTCTGAACTTTTTATAAAACTCTATGCCAAAACCATCCGGGCCTGGTGTTTTACAACTACTCATCGAGCTGATTGCTTCTGTAATTTCCTGAAGTGTGATGGGGCCGTCCAGATTCTGTGCCATGTTAGGGTCTAAAACGGGAAGCTATAAATCATTCAAAAGGGAATGCATATTATCTGGATTGGGGTGGTGTTCAGATGTGTAAAGCAAGGAGTAATAGTCGGCAAAAATCTTATTAATTTCCTTGGGATGAGAGGTCAGATTGCCTGTAGAGTTTTTAATCTGAGGGATTAATCTGGAGGCGGTGAGTCTCCTGAGCTGATGAGAAAATAATCAACTGCCTTTATCACCATATTCATATACTAAGCCACGTGAACGCAAGATAAAAGTCTCAGCTTTTTTAGTAACAAGTAGATTAAACTCTGCTTGAAGGTCCGGTTGTGATTTAACAGCTCAGAAGAAGGTTTCTCTGAAATTTTTCTAAGTTCGCGTATAGATTTTGAGAAAAACGATTCCTCAGATAGGAGCATGGGGTTCAAACACCACTGAGAAGGATCTCTTTGACACCAGACAAAATTAACATCCATTTGAAGTGGAGCACAATCGGATATGACTATAGCAAGTAATCAAGTGACTCAAGGAGCTCACTATCAATGAAAAAAATAATCAATACGAGAATAAGATCTAGGTACTAGAGAAGAAAAAGGATAGAGATCGGGCCATTTTCAAAATTGAGAGCATTTTCGAGCTAGATCAGTCTAGTGCTGGATTCATGACACAGTTTAAATCACCTCCAAAAATAAGTTTATGTGTATCTAGATTAGGAAGAACAGATAAAAGTCCTCATCATCTTAGTTCGGAGCATAGATGTTTACCAATAGCACCTGGACCTGAAACAGGAGACCCGAAACAATAACATATCTACCATATTCGTCCGAAATTACGTTCACTGGAATGAACTGGGTTCTCTTATTAATCAAAATAGCAACTCCTCTAGCTTTTGTGTTATAATTAGAATGAAAAACTTGGTTGACCCAGGATTTACGCAGTCTGTTATGTTCTGTTCCAGATAAGTGCGTTTCTTGAAGGAACACAATGTCTGCACTTAATGTTTTGAGATGGGAAAAAACCTGTACCATTTTACTCTGGGCCTGCAAACCTTTAACATTCCACAAGATAAATCTGACCGGACTGTGTAGGTTAGTGTTTTTCCTTATTGTAGACATGTGGTAAACATGAGCTTAAGAAATTGTAGGAGTAATGCTGCTGCTGTTGCTGCAAAAAAAAAAAGGCAGGTAAGAAACAGCCCATAACACAACCTTCCAACTTGAACTTGTGCTACCGGTGACAGTTCTTAAAGCCATGCACAACATCTCTCGCCCTAAATAACAGGCTCAAAAAACTAGCTCTGACCCCCAGCTCCCCACAGCCATCCAGAGGAAAAGTGATACAGCAAACAGGTTAAGAACCATACTAAACATCTCACATTATAAATTTCTTAAAAGCTCTTGGGACATGGGCAGGGCAACTGCAAATAAGGACATTAAACATAAAAACGAATAAATAAGGATCCCCAGACCTCAATCAAAAATCACAAAAGCAATGAACTGGACCTAAACCAAAGTCTTTTTCTTAGAATGATCTATTACACTTTTGAAAGAAAAAAAAAGTCCAGTATTAGGTCTTAAAGTGAGAATCATGTAGAAACAAAATGTATAATGCAAAAGTGTGGTTCAAAGACCCTAGATTAAGTCCTCAACCAAATTTTAAAGTGTCCGCTATAAAGGCACAGATATGAGCATTGGTAAATGACATGGGGGATGCAGGCCCAAAACTCAATCGCACTAATCTCAGAGATGGATATTCCTGAGACTACAGTTAAGTCAGATCAACAAGTTGCATGTAAAGGGTCTTGCAGGGTAAAGGAACGTAAAACAGACTCCTCTCTGAAACAAAGTTGCTTTGATTTGCTGAAACACAGTTCGTCTTTGAGAGAGTTCTGTGCTATAGTCAGGAAAAATTTTTAGCTTGTGACACTTGTAGAGAAGTTTGTCTCTGCTTTTTTTCAGGGCTCGCTCCTTGTCTTGAAAGCTATGAAAAAGAACAATCATAGCTCTGGGTTATCCACCAGTCGCTCCCCCAGCAGCAGGTGATCAGCCCAGCCGGTGAGCCCTCTCAATGATCGGTTGGCTTTGAAATAGACCGGGACCAAACAATTCTTTGAGGAGCTCTGTAGTGAATCTGATCGGATCATTTGACTCCAGACCCTCAGGAATCCCAATAATACACAGGTT